CCGGCTCTCTCTCTCCCCGCCCCGGCTCTCTCTCTCCCCGGGCCGGCTCTCTCTCTCCCCGCCCCGACTCTCTCTCTCCCCGGGCCGGCTCTCTCTCTCCCCGCCCCGGCTCTCTCTCTCCCCGCCTCCGCCTCCGCCTCCGCCTCTCCTGGCCAGACCGGAAGGGTGACTTCGCCGCCTCTTTCTTTCCGCTGCGGCAGCGTAAGCACAGCGATGGCGGCTCCAGAAAGCCGCGGGCCCGGGGCCGACGCCCGGCTGGACCAGGAGACGGCCCGGTGGCTGCGCTGGGACAAGGTGAGGGGCGCCAGCAGGCGTGGAGCGCCCGAAGGGTGCCGGGTGCCGGGTGCTCTGCCCTCCCCAGGCGCGGCGCCTGCGCTACCTTCCCGCCCCGGGCGCTCGGCTTCTCCCCCGGGGAGACCCAGGAGGAGGCTTCCTTCGGCCTGGCCGGCAAGTGGCACGTTCGGAGTTAGGCCGGGAAAGGTTGTCCGAGGACGAAGCCAGCTATCCGGCTGGCCGGACTGCACGTTCGGAGTAGAGGAGCGAGCCAGGGTGGTGGTCTAAGCGCGGCCAGACCCTGGACGCTGTCTAGTTGAGGCGCGCACGACTTGCTGTCACTCAGACCGCTGGCTCGTCTTCGGTGGTGGCCTGTGCATGCCTGTGGACCCAGAATCACTCCGTCCCACCTCTTCCTTTGGCCGCTGGGACCTTTGCAGAGCAGCGTTCTAGTCCGGCCCTTCCATCCCGAGGGCTTGGTTACAAACGTGGGTCCTCCCGGGTGGGCCGGCCTGGCTTCAGGAGTACCCCTTGGAACATTGACAGCCCAGGAGGAACCCTTTGGACACAGCACGGTTTTCTCTCCCTTCATTCCCTTTGTTAGATGCTGGACCAAAGAAAGAATCGGGAACCCAGCTCTGGACATCACTCCCTCTCTCCTCTCTAACTTGGGTCTCGCCCTTCCTGCCTGTTCTGCTTGCTGTTCGGTTTTCTCGGAATGCCCTTCTCTGCTCCCTTCTGCTGAACTTGTTTCTCCCTTTGTGACTCATATTTTGTGTCTGAACTTAAATGTTGCTTACACAGAGAGTCCTTCCTTGGCTCCGAAGTGTACGTTATTTCTCCCTAATATTCCCTCTAAACGGTCTGTGATTTTCCTTTACGGTGCTTGCTGCAAATGGTAAAAACAAAAAACTCCAAAAACACTTGTTTGTAGGTTTGTTTAATGTCTGTCTTCAGGGGCAAAAGACCCCTGCCGTCGCCCAGGACTCCCGCTCCTACAAGGGCCTACTGTTGTTTTAATGTCCTGCTGTCCTGTCTTGACAATCTTAATGGTTGAACAAGAGAGCACCTATTTTCATTGTGCACTGGACCTCTATAAATTATGTGGCCAGTCCTGTCTGCTCTCACTGTCTTGGTTTATAGTGCCTGGCATAGGCATAGGGCAGGACACATAGTAGGTCACTAAAATACTTGAGTGAACAAAGGAGATAGATTACAAGGTCAGTAGGAGCCAGGTCTTTGTTTACCGTTCTCTGGCTCCTACAAATAAAATGTCAGCAAATCCCATTTCCAGAATGCTATTGGCAACTCCTTGGGGGAGTTTTTCTTTTCCTGGGAAGATAACTTTGTGATTCTTAAAGGAAGAAAAATGTTACCCTTTCTGATAACTTGTAACTTGCAGAGTATGGAATTCTTTTGAAGCCAGAGTTCATAATGCCCTTTCCCTTTGAAAAAGAAGAAAAAAGCAACCTAATGTCTACAGGGTTGCATCTGTGTATAGAAAAATTGTACCTCTCTTGGTAGAGACCAGATGTCCTTTTTATATTTTTTATTTTTATCACTCATGTTCTATCCTCCCTTAATTTTCTTATTTGGCTTTGAGACTGGCCCCTAACTAAGAAGAAGCCCATTCATTCTCCAGCGAACCTCCCACCAGCTAAAAGCATTGCAGTCCTCTAGTCTGACTTCACCCCGCGATTAGCAAGGCACCCTGGTAGGTGCCCCCTGTGTTTCTAGCATGCCTTCATCCCTGTTCTTTTCTCTGCTGTCAGCTTTGGTCACTCCCAGAGGTGATTCTGATCCTGCTCTCCTCTTGACTTCTCATTCTTATCTTTCTGTCTCATTTGTTTCTCTCAGGCTACTTGGTCTTTCATAGACATCAAAGACCAATTAAGATTTTCCAGACCTACATTATGAACAAGGGAAAATCATTTGATATTGGGTGTGGCAGTGAAGTCTGTGTTTTCTGATTCACTCTACAAATATTTATTGAGCCTCTTTTATGTACCCGATCAGAGCCCTTTTTTGGGGGCAACTGACAACCTGATAGATAAGACTGTGTTCTGTAATTAGTATCTGCTGCTTTTCACCAAAATAAGTGAGGTTTATTTGATACCTATTGGATCTGCAACAATCTGGAAATGTGGGCTTAATTCCAGAAAGCCAAGGTTTTATTGCAATAGTATTCCAAAGTTTAATTACATAGCCACATCCTGTGTGAGTGTGCATCTAAATGGATAATGACTGTAAAACAGGAATATAAAGTACTTACTCTGTTGTTTTCCTGGATTCATAATTTAAAAGTCTCATGTGAAATTAATGTGATTGTCATTTTTTTTCTTCAGCCTTAACATTTTCTGCAACTGCGGTACCAAAAAACAGGACAATGTATAATGAACTTAAGTCAATCCTGTTAATGTCTATTTGAAGCAGTTAATGTTAGAGAAAAGGCACTAGGTTAATGTTTATCATGCAATTTAAGAAAGTCACTCAATTTCTGAGGCTTCCCCATCTGTAAAATTGGGTTTCTGTTATTTGTCTGCTTCTTGGAGATGTTACAAGATTCAAACTTGACCAGGTATGTGAATGCCTGATATAAATTATAAAACATTGCAAAACTAAGGTTTTGACTTAAATTGTGTAATCTATCACTCTCTGGAAAATTTGAGAACATTAGGGAGAAAAATGAACATTTAATCACAACTAAGTGCCAGGTAGAGAAAGATATTTTACATTAATTTGAAGTAAACTACCTTAAAACCTTAAAAATTGTGTAAGGGAGGTTCTAGATTATTCCCATTTTGCAAATGGGAAAACTGAGAATTTGAGAACTGAATTAATCTGCACAAGCACCTAGAGTTGGCAAGTGGTATGCTGAGATTCCATTCTGGGGCTTAGAGTCATATGCTGAAACCTCGACTTCCATTTCTCCAAAAGTGCTGACCTTGACAGGAAAGAAAAGAACACTTATGTCAGACTGACTTCATATTTCAAATTTCAGGAGCATCAGAAAATTGAAAGGTTTATATATGTATGTGTATATATATATATATTTTCCCTGTAGGTTAGAATGATATTGTGGGTGTTTTTACTTTTCATTCACTTATTTGTCTGGCGGTATTTTTGTCCTTTAGAATTCCTTAACTTTAGAGGCAGTGAAACGACTAATAGCTGAAGATAACAAAGAAGAACTACGAAAATGTTTCGGGGCCCGAATGCAGTTTGGGACAGCTGGCCTTCGAGCGCCCATGGGCCCTGGAATTTCTTGTATGAATGACTTGACCATCATCCAGACTACACAGGTACCACATTTTTATAATTCTTAGTAACGCAACGTGTCCCTCTAGCTCATTTTATATTTGACAGACCTCATTTGTTTTAATTATGGACATGTATTATCGGCTTGACTAGACACAAGAAGTCACCACCACTTACTCCATAAAGTAAGGCTTGCAGAGTTGGTTGAAATAGCACTTGTTCAGGACTCATATAGCCATCCATTCATTCATTCATTTAACACACTTACGGAGTGCCTACTATGCGCCAGTCACTGGGGATATGAGAATGACTCAAACAAACAGATTCTTTTTTTTTTTTTTTTTATTTTTTTTTTTGAGACGGAGTTTCGCTCTTGTTACCCAGGCTGGAGTGCAATGGCGCGATCTCGGCTCACCGCAACCTCCGCCTCCTGGGTTCAGGCAATTCTCCTGCCCCAGCCCCCTGAGTAGCTGGGATTACAGGCACGCGCCACCATGCCCAGCTAATTTTTTGTATTTTTAGTAGAGACGGGGTTTCACCATGTTGACCAGGATGGTCTCGATCTCTTGACCTCGTGATCCACCCGCCTCGGCCTCCCACAGTGCTGGGATTACAGGCTTGAGCCACCGCGCCCGGCACAAACAGATTCTTTAATGGAGCTTTCATTCCAGTGTAAATGTACCAGCTAAGCTGACAACTTTTAAGGTCCTGTTATTTTTGCTGTAGTTCCATGGCCAGTGCTAAAAAGCTGTTCTAACTGCCAGAATTACCAAGAGCCTGTTCTCCTTTGTTTTGTGTATTTGTTTTGTTTTGTTTTCAGACAGTCTCGCTCTGTTGCCCGGGCAGGAGTGCAGTGGCACGATCTTGGCTCACTGCAACCTCTGTCTCTCAAGTTCAAGCAATTCTTCTGCCTCAGCCTCCCAAGTAGCTGGGACTACAGGTGCGCGCCACCATGCCCAGCTAATTTTTGTATTTTTAATAGAGACTGGGTTTCACCATGTTGGCTAGGATGGTCTTGCTCTCTTGACCTTGTGATCTGCCCATCTTGGCCTACCAAAGAGTTGGGATTACAGGCGTGAGCCACTGCACCCGGCCTCTCCTTTGTTGTATTAGTATGAATTGAGTCTGAGTTTCCTTGCCTTAATTTGTGAATATTTTTGTCAGAGTCTAGACCCAGCTTTTAGGAAGGAGATAAACAATTTGACAAAACAGAAGAGCTTCCACTGGGTATTGGGAGTACTGTTTATGAAGGAAATAAAATAGAACAGGTTATTCTCGTCAGTGTTTCTTCAACTTAGACCTGTTAATGATGAATGTCACTTAAATTCTAGGAAAAGAAGGGCTAGAAAAAATTGCCTCCTAGTGATTACATAAGCCTCACATATACATCCCAGCATAAAAGGCAGAGCTGGGCATGTTGTAATGAAACTCCAATAAGGAAAGCTTATCTAACTAAGGGTATAGAATTACCAGGCACGATGGCTCACACCTGTAATCCCAGCACTTTGGGAGACTGAGGCAGGTGGACCACTTGAGCTTAGGAGTTCAAGACCAGCCTGAACAACATGGTGAAACCCTGTCTCTATCAAAACCTCAAAAATTTGCCAGGTATGGTGGTGTGCACAGTAATCCCAGCTACTCAGGAGGCGGAGGCAGGAGGATCATCTGAACCTAGGAGGCAAGGTTATAGTGTGCTGACATCATGCCACTGGACTCTAGCCTGGGCAACTGAGCAAGACAGAATGTACCAGCTAGAAGCTATACTGACTCTTATGACCTTTTATGACACACAGTGTCACTTCTACCATATTCTGTTTGTTAAACGTGAGTCCATAAGGCTGTCTCCTATTCAAGGAGAGGGCGCATAGATACCCACTTCTCATTGGAGGAGCATTAATGTCACATTGTAAGAGGAACATAGGGGGTGGGTTATATGACTGGGGCCATCTTTGGGCAATCCTGTTGATCACACCTGCCATTGGGCCTAATTGTTAGGGATTTCTAAGGGATTCTAGATTAACCTAGAGCTTTTTCCCCTGAATTTTTCTACATCTAGTTTCCAAGAATAATGAAATGTATTTCCATTAAATACTATCTTATCCATTTTCCTCCTAGAAGAATTGGTCACCTCTCAGGGTAAACCCCTTTGCTAAACAAGATGATCAATATTCTAAACGTCATGTAATTCAGCCAGCCAGCACTTGGGATGATTTTCTCCATGAAACCACCACTTTGAAGTGCTCATTCTGCCTATTCTGGATACTTACAATAGGAGACAGAGATGTGAAGAGTTAAGAAAGTTTTATCTGAGCAGCAGGTGTATTTTTTTTTTTTTTTTTTTTTTTTTTTTTTTGAGTTGGTGTCTCGGTCTGTCACCCAGGCTGGAGCGCAGTGGTGTGATCTCAGCTTACTGCAACCTCCACCTCCTGTTCAAGTGATTCTCCAAGCAGCAGGTGTATCTTTAAAGTCTTAGGAGTGGATTCAAAATTAGGCAAGAGGATTCTCAGAACCAATAACAAAGGTTTCCACCCCAGTCTTGGGTAGTGTTCCCTGGCAGAATGCTGATAGGCAAATATACTGATCACTTTTCACTGATCAGACTTTCATGGTAGCATAGGCGCCCTTCCTCCTGGTCTCTAGGTGTGGAACCTCATTCTGATGTACCCCAAAATTTGCCTGGTTGGTTTAAGAAGCAGATGTATGTGATTGAAAAACCTGTCAAATGAAACAGGACAGAGGCTGGAGGAAACTTTTGTATGATTTGCCTCATTGATAGAGGTTATAATTTCCTTCTGCCAATTAATTTATGTTCTATGCTCTATTTTGGGTCTGTGCTCTTAGGTTATTTAGCCATAGCATACCAGTGATGGGAAACTTGCTGTCCTCTGAAAGAAGCCATTCTATCTTTGGACCATTCTCATTAAAAGATGGCTTCATTATTTTAAGCCAAAATCTGCCTTTCTGTAGACTTTGCATATTGGTCCTAGTTCTACTTTTTGAAGTCATACAAATAAGCTTGCTTCCTATGTTTTATAGTAACATTTTATTTCTGAAAATCCCCTACTTCCCCCACTGAGTCTTTCATCTAGCATAAGAATTCCCTTTTCCCTTAGCCATACATTCAGGTCTTCATCCTCAGCAGGCCTCAGAGATTTTTAGATAATCTGGAGATGGGAATGCTCTTTGCTTCAGGGAACCCTGGGGCCACAGCTCAAGGGTTGAGCAGGAAGAGGGGAACTGTCACTATTGTAAATCTTAGAGTATCAGGCATCTGGGTATCTTCTGGGGAACCCACAAAACCAATACACATGTCCTTATTTCCTTGCATTACTCAGCCTCAGAAGATATGCTCAGTGCAATGTATTTGTCAAAGAAAAGCTAAAGGCATTCTAAATTAGCACTGGCTGTGATTTATCCCCTCCTACCTAAAATAAAAGCTATGGGTTGGGTGTGGTGGCTCATGCCTGTAATCCCAGCACTTTGGGAGGCCAACGCAGAAGGATTGCCTGAGCCCACGAGATTGAAACCAGCCTGGGCAATATGGCAAGATCCCATCTCTACAAAAAACTTTGTTTTCAATTAGCCAGGCATGGTGGTGTGTACCTGTCATCCCAGCTACACAGGAGGCTGAGGTAAGAGGATTACTTGAGCCCAAGAGATTGAGGCTGTACTGAGCCATGATCATGTCATTGCACTCCAGCATGGGAGACAGAGTGAGACGCTGTTTCAAAAGAAAAAGAGTTACGTGTATTTATAAGACTTCCTTTAGCAAAAGTGAAGTAAATAATATAAAATGAATTATTATTTTTGCCCAATCAACCAGAGTTTTCTTTGTTTTGTATGGCTTTGAAGGAAAATAACAACAAAAAAAAGCTTATAACAGCTAACACTTAATATAGTACTTAGTTGGTGTTGAATTCTCAGCACTTTGCATGTTTTCATTCATTTACTCCTTATAACAGCCCTATGAGGTGGGTACTATTGTTATTCCTGTTTCACAGAAGAGGAAACTAAGGCACCAAGAAATTAAGGAACTTGTCATTTGCTTGACGTGGCAGCGTGGAGTATAAATTCACAGATTCTGCTTCTAGAGGGTGTGCTTTTAGGCCCTACACTGAACCACCTCTCACCAGCCCTGGGTACAAATTTGGGCTCTACTATTCTAATATCTGAAACTGGACAAGTCACTGTGCCTCTCTGAGCCTTATTTTACCCATCTGTAAAGTGGGATTTCTGACCAGGTACAGTGGCCCACACTTGTAATCCCAGCATTTTGCGAGGTCAAGACAGGAAGATCATTTGACAATAGTTCAAGACCAACCTGGGCAAAATAGCAAGACTCTGCCTCTATAAATTTTTTTTTTTAATTAATAGGGCCTAGTAGCATGCACCTGAGGTGTTAGCTACTCAGGAGGCTGAGGTGGGGGAGATTGCTTAAGCCCAGGAGTTCAAGGTTACAATGAACTATAATGTTAGGATTCACTCAAGGTGACTGGCAAAATATTAAGGGAAATATTAAGGAAAGTTATAAGATACAGTCTCAAACCTTTTAGAAGGACAAACGATTTTCATTAGCTTGTAATAATAGAGCAGGCTGAAGGCAGCCAGTCCTTACCTTAGAGCATTAGGTTGTAAGGTGAAGGTTAAGGATGACTATCCAACTTTTACTTCCTGGACTGCAGGAAGGGTACTTTGACTAGCCCTCTTGCCATGAGAGTACAAAGAACAAAGGAAAACACAAATTGATCCCTTATGCATTTGGGGTCATTCTTACTGCTGTGTCTGATCTCCGTTGCCTGGAACCTGATTGGCTAACAACTTAAAACCTTTCTAAACAGGTCAAAGCAATGGAGAGCTGGTACATGCCTGAGAGCATGTCCGGCACAGATATTTTGGTTAAAGTACAAGGACATAGAGTGTACTACGTGCCTATAAGCATGGCATGTCTAAGAGCTACATAGGATACGGCTTAACATGGTTATTAGCACACTTATTCTTTAACAAAAAAGGAAACTTTAAAAAGGAACTTTTCTACTTCCCACGAGAAGCTTCCCCAGTTAAGTCTGTTTACCCCATATTTCTTTGTCTCTACTAGCTTGCTTACTCATGTAAACTTTGTGCCAGAAGGCCCTCTCAGGGGGAGATCAAAGGGGGATTAACCCGTTAATAGTGTTTGTTCTAGGCCCCAGAACCAAAGCTTTTATGATTTGCAAAACACTCTTTTAGTCATGTCAATTATCTGCAAGCCTGTTGACTTAGAGCCTCTGTTATTAAATCTATACCGAATACATGGGAGGAGGAACAGCTAGTGAGGGGTCGGGTAGCTGCAATAGCAGCTGACGACCTCCCTAGCTCACGCATTTACTGGACTTGGTGTATGAGTGCATTTTATTCATCTGTCACAGAGTCAGGGTTTGTAAGACAGACCCCTGAAAGTAGTGATCATCGTCTCAGGTGGTGACCCCAGTGTGACCAATGCTACAATGATCATGCCATTGCACTCCAGCCTAAGCAACAGAGCAAGACCCTGGCTCTGGAAGGGAAAAAAAAAATTTCCTAACAAAGTTGATCCAAGGTTAGAGATAATAGCTGCTAAGTGACCAACAGCTAACACAGTGCCTAATACAAAAACACATGGGTAATAAACAAGGCTGTTTCTTTATTTTCTTCTTGTTCAGTTTGTTTCCTTACTGAGATGATTTTCCCCCTCTGCTATAGTGTTATCCTATGAAATTTGAGAAAACGTAATTTTTGGCTAATGTTTCTATGTTGTATATATAAAAATATGTCAAAATATATACTCTTTTAATCTATGGGATATTTGTAGGGATTTTGCAGATACCTGGAAAAGCAGTTTAGTGACCTAAAGCAGAAAGGCATCGTGATCAGTTTTGACGCCCGAGCCCATCCATCCAGTGGGGGTAGCAGCAGAAGGTATTTACACATTTTTACAAAATGACGTTTCCATAATTTACTTTGCAGTTTTATTTTAATCACCATCTCAATAACTCGGCTTTAATATGTTCATGAGCCTCATTGCTTAACTATTAAAACAATGGGTAAATTCTCTTGGCAACTTTTAAAGATTCTGGTTTTCCATTTGGGCCAGAGCAATCAGGCAAGAAAAAGAAATAAAGGGTATTCAATTAGGAAAGGAGGAAGTCAAATTGTCTCTATTTGCAGATGTGTAATTGTATATCTAGAAGACCCCATCATCTCAGCCCCAAATCTCCTGAAAGTAATAAGCAACTTCAGCAAAGTCTCAGGATACAAAATCAATGTGCAAAAATCACATGCATTCCTATACACCAATAACAGACTTAAAGAGAGCCAAATCAAGAACGAACTGCCATTCGCAATGGCTACAAAGAGAATAAAATACCTGGGAATACAACTAACAAGGAACGTAAAGGACCTCTTCAAGGAGAACTACAAGCCACTGCTCAACGAAATAAAAGAGGACACAAACAGATGGAGAAACATTCCATGTTCCTGGTTAGGAAGAATCAATATCGTGAAAATGGCCATACTGCCCAAAGTAATTTACAGATTCAACGCCATCCCCATCAAGCTACCAACGACCTTCTTCACAGAACTGGAAAAAAACACCTTAAACTTCATATGGAACCAAAAGAGAGCCCGCATAGCCAAGTCAATTCTAAGCAAAAAGAACAAAGCGGGAGGCATCACACTACCGGACTTCAAACTTTATACTACAAGGCTACAGTAATCAAAACAGCATGGTACTGGTACCAAACAGAGATATAGACCAATGGAACAGAACAGAGGTCTCGGAGGCAACACAACATATCTACAACCATCTGATCTT